TAGCTCAGCTTTACCTAACCACCCTCGACTAACCTCAGCTCCAGTGTAGCACGTCTCTCTTAAAAAAGAAACCAGTACCTTCCTGTTTGCGGAGCCTCTTAAGAACAATTGTTCTCAAAGGATTTCTGTGTACTCTGCTTGTGAGTGCTTCAGCTTACCTTCATGTAGGCGTCGGTAGAAGTAGAGTGAAGATTCATATTCTCGTTGCCATTGTTCCCGTCAGATTGGGACTTGGCCTTTGCTCGGTATCTGGATGGCGGTCAGCCTTTGATGTAACCTCAAGCTAATGAACATGTGAATACGGTTGTCAGCAGAGCGACTTTTGAAGCTTTTGTGCTTCTCATTGACCCGTCTCACCAGTCCCTCCATCTTACCTGACATATCTTTTGTGGCCTGACTTTTACAAGTCAGCACAATGCTTCCATGTCCTTCTCTTTTCTTATACATTTGCATTCAATTCCTTTTCACACCAGGCCTAAGGTGAGCTTTTTTTCCACAAAAGCAAAGAACCCTATCTTCCTCCCCGCCCACATGAAACGACCTGTCTGTAATCTGTTTCCATTCAGCAATCACCTGTCTTCGCTACAACCATCTCTGACTACCATTTGCAGATGCAGTCATTCATTTTGGCAGAGAATAAACTTTGAAACCCCCCTTCATTGGGGATGTGCTATGTAAAATTGTCCCTGCACACTCCTAAATCTGGTAAATACACAAGCTCCTTGTACAATAACCCAGCACAAATGCAAATTGTCCAGGACAATGAGCGCTGATTGACTGTCTGCATGGAACTGTGTCAGGCTCTCGCTATGGGCTTCTTTTCTTTTCTCTGAAGTTTTCTTCCAGAGACTCTATTGTGTCTCTTCAGAGACGTGTTAATTTACTGAGACATTGATATTTTTCTTTTTAATGTCGGACCTGTGCTCTTCAGAAACTTTCTCCCCTGCTTGCCTGAGTAAACTTCTCTCTCGGTTTGCTTCAAGCCCTGCAGGGTTACCTCAATGCAATTCATTTGTTTTTTGATTGTTTGATTTCAAGCTTGGGGCAAATTTGCCATTGTAATCTTTTAATTAAACCTGCAAGACTTTTTGAAACCTTTGAAATGTGTATTACAGTGGAGCATGAATAATGAAAGACCTGAACCTCTTGCAAAGCTGTCATCATTATGCATATTAAAAACACAGGTCATTGCATACAGCTGTGGACTGCTTAAACCATAGTGTAGAAAAGTGTGCTGCTGTTGTTTGTATTTCTTGGTCACACTGGACCAGATCAGCCTGAAGTCAGCAGTTGGCATCTATGTTACTAAAAACGAACATTTGTTGAAACTTTAAAAACTCAATTTTCATTATGTTGACATTGAGCACACCAAGGTGCCTTTGAGCCAAGGTCCTTAACCCCAACTTTTCCAGTGGAGATTCTCATCAACCCACAGACAGCCTGTGGTTTTACCTGGCAACTGTGTGAATGTGTTTAACTGTGTGTGGGGTTTCTGCAAAACAAATAAATACAGGTCAAAAAATATAAATTAAATCTTGTAGCTTCAGTATTTATTTAGCAACTATCAAGGGAAAGATTGGATTGTTGCCAGCCTACACCGCATTTAACCTGCAGTCGTTGCTCTGATAAATATTACTACTAACAACATAAACATTAATGTGATTGTTTTAATTGTTAATTTAGTGGTGGTTCAAGCAGCAAAGTCAGCCCCTTCCAAAGGAATATTTTGGATAGCTGATTGTATTTTTTCCATTTTTTAATACAGTGCGTAACTCTGCATTCAAACAGTAATAAGTTGATTGTCCATTCGGCTCACTTTCACATTATCTTTATCTTATAGCTTATTTTACTTTTTATGATCACAAAAAATATTATCAATGTTTGTACCACGGTATTATTGATGGAATTGACTGAGATTCATAGAAAACAAAATCAAAATAACATGTAATGTACAATCTACTATTTCAACCATTATGAAGCGGCTTCCTTGTACTTTTCTGCACTTGTGAGTTTGGAATAATGTGGCAGAAATTCTCTTAACTTCTTTCTATACATGTATGTACATTTCCAGTATGATTATTGCTTGGTTAATATTCAGGTAAGATTATGAACTGGTACTGTTTGAGAGCTTTTTGAAAAACATTCCATTTTTTAAATGTGTTTGGCAATAAATCAGGATCCAATTACAAATGTAATTTGACTGTAAGGCTGTAACCTGTCAGGGTGTAACAAATATTCAGCCCTAAGTAAGATGCTTCAGAAACTGGCCACTAATTTGCATTAAGTTGGCCTCAGCTCTGCCGACGCTCTCTGCTCAGGGTAGCAGCAACCGGCTGCTCCCGCAGTAACAGCTTGTAGTAATTGCTGCCTTCCATTTAAAATGAATGACTCTTGGCTTCTCTTGCTGCACATGAATCTTTCAGAGTGAGTAACACCTCAGGCCAGATGTGAGTCTGAAACTAAAATATCTATGTCCAGACTTAAAGAAGTGAAATTTTAACGGCTCTGCTACATTTTAAAGTGACTCCCGACGTCCTTGTGCTCAATAAAACAGAGCACAAACAACGTCCTCTGTTTGATGTCTGCTTGTACATCTATCATCAAGGGATAAATCACCATAGTCGACCACAAATGTCACAATACACAATAGTGTTCCAACTGAAGCGTTTGGTCAAAAATGTATTCCATGTCCTGGAATCACACTCGTACTGAACTGTACTTGCAGTGATCAGACCAGTAGCCTGACTCTGAAATAGCTTGGAGATGGTGCCATGCTGTGCTTTGAAAAGTTCCATGTTGTGCTCTTGCTTGGCCTTTGATTACAGTCAGGAACAGGATGCTAAGTTTGCCTCACTGTTTGTGGGGATTTTTAATGCTCCCTTTCTGGTCAGCCTGTGAGACCCTCTCTGGCATAGTGAACTGTAGAATGCGTTTTAATGCAGACACAGCCTTACTGGCCTGGAAGCATGTTTCTTTTCTTTTTTTTAAATTTATATTTATGTATTTTTGTGCTCAGACAGCTTTTACTACTGTTGCTTTGGAAAAGATGTTGGAAAAATGGACCAAAACCACCTTCCTTATATAATATAAAAGATCTAAGCTTTGATTTAACCCAATTTCCTTTTTTGTAAGGAAACATAAACTGTAATGATACTGCTGCTGCTACTGGGCAGTTTTCTAACTCACAGAAGATGATAAAAGTGTTTTCAGACTTGTTAGTGTTTCTAAGTGTCAAGCCCTCTGGGGTGGCAGTAGTTGATAGACATCTGAGAGCAGGCATAGCAAGCCTTAATGAAACATAGCTAACTGAAGCATAGCCCTGTTTGAGGCCCTTTTTGCCTTCTGCACCACAATTCAATGGGTCCTTTCCTGACCCATACTGCATCCTTCCACCACATATCGTGGTTAAACAGACCTAAATAAAAACATCTCCTTGATGGATGTACTTTAAGCAGGTTAGTAAGTATGGTAATATAGACTTTCAGTATCTTTGTACTTGTTCTGTGCTGTGTGAATCACAGTGTGTACCCTGATGTCCGATTCTTTTTATTACTCCACTGCTCAGATCTTTTTAACAGCTGCTGCAAGGACAAGGCCCAATGACTTGATGGTTGTGGGAGACAGTCATGAGGAAAAATGTCTTCAGAAAAGTGGAAAAAACATATTTTTGTTGAGATGAAATGTTAAATTGTGTGTTGCTAACACAGACGGAAACCAACTCTGTTTGCTGTCTTATTAGTTTCTAACACTTTTGTCTCTGCCACATGGGGTCATCCTCATTTAAAATTGATTCAGAAAATGGAAATTAAATATGCACACGAACATTGACCTAACTCAGACTTTCTCTGTTATTCTTTTAATCCAAATTTGCCTCGCTTCAGGCACTCATACCTGGTTCCTTTATCGTGACTCTGTGGCTCCAAATAACCATCAACAAGGCTTTAATGAGCCTGGCTAGATGCCAGTAATGATCCTGGCTCTAGCCCCAAGAGAATGTCCCTCTGCATTTTTCCCATATTTCCCCCCCGCTACGTGCCACTAATGAGTCGGTGGACGACGGGCTGCATATTCTCTGTGGCAATATTCTCCTTAGATGGTTGTCAATTGGCTAACCTGCTGTAAATGGTCAGTAACCTTGAGGTGGTATGAATGATGAGTTATTGAAGGAATACAAGACTGATGAGCTGGTGGAGCTGACAGTTTTGCTTTTAATAGCCAGTCAAGAGATCCCACTGGAAAGATTAACTATGTTGGATTTGGGTTGTTTGCTCATGGCAGACATGTGATACTGTGGTACTATCCCATCAGTTGTAGGGGGATGAAAATAAACTCTTGTCATCATAATGTTTAACCAAAACAGTCTCACGCCCCATGAATACCAGTCAAAAGTTGATTTTCTTGAAACGTTAGATTGTCTGAATCATTGCGTTTATGACTTCAGTTGTTGTGTTAAATAAAAAATGCAATACATATAAACTGTGGTACAGAATTACCAAGGATATGCATGAGGTGTTTAGAAATCATGTCCAGAGAGAACCAATTTATTTTTCAGCTGTTAAAAAAACACTTTCAAGAGTTTTCACTGTCATATGTACTTTAAAAGAGGTGTTGAACCAAATAATGAAAATGCTAGATCTTCAGTGATGCACTTAAAACAATAAATATAAAAAATATATTTTAAAAAAAAATCTAATTTGGGTGTTCCTCAATAAAAAAACGTGCTAACTGCCCTTCAGCAAGTTTGCAGTACAGCGAGTACCCCCTTTTATTTATAGAAGAAAAAACACTTCCCTGTTATAATTAAATGCATATTTCTCATTATTTCTATTTAATGATTTCTTACAATTAAAAGATGTGTCATGAAATCTGTGGTGTTCAGCGGAGGCTGAGAAAGTAATTCATCTTATAAGAACTTGGTTCATAAGCAATAAGCAAGGACTGTAATGGGTAGAGTTTTACTTTTACTCACAAAAAGCTCTTTTCTAAAATTAAAAAAACAGGTGGACGACATCTTAGGTGAGGAGAGCGACAACGAGAGTGATGGCCGGGGGAAGGAGAAGCCAGGTAATGAGGAGGTGGAGGATGAAGAAGAGGAGCAGCAGCAGCAGCAGCAGCAACAGCAGCAGCAGCAGCCGCAGCCGCCAGGTGCTGGACAGATAGAAGGAGATGGCCTTGATGCTCAGGTGGTGACCCTGGAAGACAGACTTCAGACGCCGTTCAGTGAAGCCGGTCTGCTGGGTGGTGTGCCAAGGTGAGACACAGAACATCATAAGAAAATCCACATTTTGATCTCGTATTTAGTTTTTGTGTTACCCCTTCACTCCTGCTTTTTGTTATGACTGCTACTGCTTCAACAGCCCCCCTTGAGTCATGGATTCATGGATATCATATATACATTTTTACTACCTCCCTTTTTTGTGTCATTGCAGTTTGCACTCTTCTCTTTCAATGTTGATCCTCTGCTTCTTGCATAAACACCTACTGCAGCCAGCGAGCATTCAACTGGGATTTCATTTTTTTTTTTATCTAATGCATATTTTCTGGTCCTCATCCTCCACTGTGTATCATCATAACACTGTTTCATCAGCGAGGTTATGCTAGAGCTAGATGGTCTGGTGTGTTGCCATGGAAACAAATTAAGAACAGACATCAAGCAGGTGAAGAACTCTTGAGTCTCCTATTGGTCAAGGACAAACCTGAGTTGAATTCGAGCAGTTTGAATCAGTCTGTATTATTTTGTTATTTCCCTACATGGAACATATATCAATTAGTTGATATAAAAAAATGTACCCTGAGGATAATCTGTAGTGAATCACAATTGATTCAAAATCATCGCAATGTCAAAAGCGCTGGCATAGACCCCAGAATATCCAGAATCCAAAAATCAATATAGATCTGGCATTACAGCTGTCTCTACATTTACATGACTAAATATCAAATATACAGTATAAAGACATACCTTAACGTCTTTATACATATGTAATGTCTTACTACTAGGCTGCACCATTGCAATTTTTTCTCCTTATATATGTCATCAGAAAAATCACAGATAAAACAGTAATGGATGTAAACAAATAAAATTCAATAAGATTTTTGGAAAAAGTTTCATTTCAACTTAATTTCACAAGGTTTCCACTGCTCTTTCTTCCAGACTTGGTTTTCCTGTCTGTTCAGCCTCACTGCTCTGATTGTCAGAGCTTTAAAAATGAGACACCTTGTCTGGAGTGTTTTTCTACACCTGCATTTACTCTCAGACACCTTTCCTCTGGTTGTGGCTCAGCATTCACGGCTGCCCGGGCCTCAGCTGGCAGCCGCAGCAGGGTGATGAGTTTTTTTATTTTTTTATTTTTTTTCCCTCCCCTCTCCCCTTTTGGACATGTCAGTCCATCTGTCACCTGGTCTGACACGTTTGGTTGCCGCTAATGAGACCAGCCAGAAATACACTGTCCACGGCATTGTTTACTTATTGTTGAAAACCTGAGGTAGTACGACTCCAGTCAGCGCAGCGGGGAGGAGCCGCACATGACACGTTTCTTGAGTGGAAGAGGGTAGGGTGGTGTGGACTTGTAATGGCAGGTGGGTTTTCGGGTCCTTCCACAGATGGATGCCTCTGTCACTCTTCTGTCAGGTTTATATTTTTTACACACAGTTCCCTTTCCACTCTTTGTAAAGAACGTTGCAAACACAGAGGATGGTTGCTTGGTGGTTTAAGCAGCACAATGCTGGTGGTGGAAGGTTTGGCCAGAATGGTGTGATAGCTAGTGATGTAGTATACAGAGGTCATCTTGCTGGGGAGGGTCGTTCTTAGTGTGTTGTTAAAGAGTAGGTTAGTTCTGTAACACTGGAACACACTGTTAAACCTTCTCTGAGCTAGGGTCGTCAAAAGTGTTGATGCGTAGATGTTTTCAATGTTTTCAAAAAGTACCAGAGTGGATCTACTATCATATTTTAACCCAAGGCCACATTGAAGCAAAGACGTAGAGGAAAACCAACTGATCTTCAACCTGTAGCTGTTGCATCATCTGCCCAGAAGCAAACCTGCTTCATGTCAGCAGCCTGATGATTAACAAAGTGCCGCCATCATTATCAATAGTTTTCTCTTCTTTTTACACACTGTTCTGGCCACATTTTATTTGTTTACATCCACTACTTGTATCAGTAAATTCATTAAGTTCAATCGGTATTAAATGTTATTGAGCATCATTTTTTGTAGCATCATAGTCTAAAATGTTGGTATTGTTACAACCCAGAGGCTAACACAACTGAACACCAGCTATTTAGAGGAGGGTGCCCTGTAGACTCTGCCTGCTCTCACAAATCCATTCATTCGTCATTTTCTTTAGGGATATAGGAAAAGGCATATAACTGTATCTCACATCAGTGGTACCTCAAGTCTAGTGGAAACACATATACAGTAATGGAGCAGGCATTCACATAAAGGTGTCCTTGACACCATCTTGAAAGCTGAAGCAGATAAAATGTAGATGTAAGACCGGGTTCCTTTCTACTTCTCTCACCTTGAGCGATAGTTATTTGTTCACCTTGACTGATTGTCACCATTTCCTATATCTGTCGAGGCGCACTGCAGAGACGAGTGTTGAAGTAGCATTACTCATGGAGAACTGTATATAGGTTTGCTTTAGTGCCCCTTTAACAAACGCAAAATGATATTAAAACTTCATCAAATATGTCCAGCAAAATCACAGATTCCCATCAATCGAAACATCACATGTTATCAAAGACAACTTGGCATCAAATCATCCTATATGTCAAATATAAGAAGCATATCACTGTACACCATTTTAGTGGGAGCCTTTATAAAAACCTGTCTGTCATTAACATCTATTTACTGTCGATCTGCCAACTGCATTTATGTAGTTCTCTTGTCTAATAGACTAAAGAGCTTGTCTTCACTGTTGCCCAGTAAGCCATTAGAGACAATTTCAAATTGATAAAAGTCATATAGCTGCTTCCTGATTTAGATGTGACTCTGTGGGACCTTCAGATGCTGGCTTAATCGCTTTCATTCTGTCAGACTCCATCCCCGGCTTCAGCACTTTCTGATATTTGGCACGAAATAGTCATCCATCTGTTGCTAAGATACTGTAGAGATGTGTGTTTTCCTCTTGCCATCATTCAATGTCTGCTCCTGCCTTTCTTTCCTGTTTCTGTCTGAAGTAAAGAAAAAATCTGTTCTGTCGCTCCATTCAACTACAAACACTGCAGCTAACACAGGAAATGCAACCATATCCACGTGATGCACTGCTTCTTTTGTATACATTATGGCAGTTTACTGCAGACAAACATGTTTTTTTGTTGTATTGACTAAGCATGGAAGAATTCACAACCACAGTACCAGGTTGAAAGGAAGAGGTACTATGTGTGCATAGAACCAATGTTGCCACTGATTGCAAATCGAAATAATTACCTTCAACAAAGGTGATTTATTTCCTTTCGCATTGTTATGGATACGTCATATTCACAGCCAGTTTTGAGCTCTTTTTATCTCCAGCACGAATCTGCACTCAAACAATGCCACTTTTTTGCCCATTAAAAATCTCATGTTGTGGTTGATCACATGTACCAACCTGTTTTGTTGAGAAAGTGCAAACAATGTTACTGGCTGTCATCATAGACAGTATGTAAAGTTGGATTTCTCCCCGAAAGTGGAGCCAAAGGGTCTCGATCCCCACCTGGTGGCTGGCTGCAGTATAGGTCATAAATCATGCCTTCTCCATGTTAGTGGATGGAACATGGACTAAACATTGCAGGTAGTTCTTATCGCAGTGATGTATGTTCAAGTGCTATTTTTCTGGTTGGTGAAGTTTTAATAAAATATTTGATCGAGCCTGGTCGAGAGTGTGCATCGCAGACTGACTCCAAATGCTCAAGATGGCAGCATTTGTATCTAAGATATTTTAGCTTCATGTCTGGAGAGTGGGAGGAAGTGGAGACGTTGCATTCATCTTCATATTCATAGTTGTCATTTACCTGCAGAGCTAGATAGTTAGACCCTCCTCCTCTGTATGATGAAATATGAAGACATCACAGAGTCTGTGGGAGCTGACGATGACTCAGTAGCAAATAAAATCACATGAAGGAAAAGGTCTTTTGAGATCCAGTACTAGCATTGGCAAGCTTGGCAAACAAGCTTCTAATTTTTGTATTGAAAACAAATTTAACAGGCTGATACATTCTCCCAAATGTAGAATGTTTCAAAAAGAAAGCATGTATTAAACCAATATATCATTTGTAAAGAATAATACATTATGTTAACTTAGAAAAACCATGCATCACCAGACACTGTGTATTCAGTACAGTGCTACTAATCCTATTTATCCTGTTTAGTAAGAGCCACTGTAATCATCATCTACTGCTCTTTTTCACTTATGTTTAGTTTATTTATTAAAACATTGAAGTTTTAAAAGAAGTTTAATTTTCTCCATTTTTGTTTCTCCTTGACTCAGTTTCAAAGCCATTTTTCTCGCCATATTTGTTATGAAGGACTTCTAATAGGATAATTACTGAAACAAAGAAGTGCTCATTGTTTCGAGGTCAGTTCTGGGTCCCTTTGATGCAGGACAAAGTCAAGGCTAATGTGTTTCGAGTGAAACCCATTCACCGGTGTCTGTTCTAATTCAAATGCAGAACAAATGGAAAAGGTTACCGATTTTTTTTTCAATCAAAATCAGCCTTGAAGTGGCTTAACCCCAACGTTAGGTCTGTTTTTGCCTCACAGACTGAAAGAGAAAATCCAGTCAGCTGTGATTTCAGCCCATTTGTGAATGTGTTCGAGGTGAATTATTAATGGATAATGTGCAGTTGAATTTGGATGAACCAAAAATCTCCCACAAGTCAACAGAAACTCCTGTTACATCCTGAATGAGACAGTGCAGTCACAGCTGAGTGTGAAACTTGTCAGACTGGAGTGATTACATTTTTGTGTCCTTTTGTGCCTTAGCTTAAACTTTTCACATTACAGCGGCTTCAGAACGAAATGATTTTTCCCCCTATGTCTGGTATGCATTTCATACATGATAAATTGGTTACAGTTAAAATTCCCGGCTTAAAACAAAGAAATTATTGAAGTAGTATGAACATAATGAATAATTAATAGTCCTCCATGGTAGGATCATAAACTGTGATTCGTCTATCAAGGCATTCTGTATGTAAGGCTGAGTGCCAGATCAATCTTTTTCCCTCAGACACGGATGAAAGACCAGAATCTTGTTTTAGATGTATATAAAATTT